GCGCTGTGATGACGTCAAATGCGCGCTTTCGTCGAGCGCGCTTTTGTGGACCGCGGTTTTGACGGGTCACGAAAGTATAAGCCAGGAAAAAAAAGAAAGGGGCGATTACCCAGAGTTGGAGGTTCCGTGTGGTTTTCAAATGAAGGACAATGTAGACATTATGACTACAATAAGACCGATTTTTGGCCCAGCCTTTCTTCATCCACTGTCATGAGCATAAAAGCTAGGAAATTTGATGATTAGAAACACGAGGCAAGTTCTTGTGTTACAGCAGGATGCAAATAAGAATGCCGTTCAAATGCAATTCTACAGAAGGATCAGAAAATTGTGTGTTTGGCCTATTCGTAAGTATTTTTGCTTTATTGTCTTCAATAAAATTTCACTGGAGTTTTATTAAGTGCCATGTCAGCTCTTGGGAACGCATCTTGCATTGAATGAAGGCTGACACTAAATTGATCTTATGGATTCCCGTCTCGAATTGGTATGACTGTTGTGTTTTTAATTATGTATTGTTGTTTATGTCGTTTTAAATTCTTGTTTGTATCCCCCTTCCCTGGTTGAGTTGTGAGCCGCCCTGAGTCCCCTTCGGGGGAAAAGGGCAGCATATAAATAAAATCAACATCAACACATCAGCACCAAATCTATATTATAGCATATAAAACTTTAATTCAAACTCCAGTTCCCCTGTGTCAATGAAGACTCCAAACCATTCTACCTTTCTGCATCCAACATGTCTCTGTCCAGCGGTGATGCTTCCTCTTCAGCAAGATCTATTTAATTAATACTCAAATGTGCAAAGTAAAATGCATGGCTGTCAATGTAAACTCTCCAATGATTGTTGTACTTGAAGAGGGAAGTCACATAGCTCTGGAGTGATGTCAAAAGTGATGTTTTATGGACTGGAAGGGGAACAAAAGAGTTTATTATCTTAACACATATTTAATTGTATACATTTTGCATAAGTTTCAGAAAAAAGGTGCTTTTTAGCCTTGAGTTGTTTTGAAAAATTTCAGTCAATTAATGAGTTTTATTTACAGTCAAAAGGTAACACCTTCAGAATTCTCTTTGCTTTTGAGATGCAGTAAAAGTTCTGGTGGTGTTCTTGAGCTTACTTTCCAGCTGAAGGTAATTGAGAATTCTGTTGCTCCAAACAGCCTTGTTTTCCTTTTCTGAAAAATGACCCGTGGTGAGAGGTTCCTCGGGATATGTTCTTGTCAAATTTAATTGAAGTCTGTAAACTTGCAGACTGCCAGAGATGATAATGTAATGTAAAAACAAAGCATTCACACATGTACCTGGGTCAATCCATAATGAAATAAATGAAGGAGTGTCATGCTCCACTATGAAGATAATCATTATATTTTCTTTCAAAAGGAAAATTTAAAAAGATATGTAAAATTATATGGTACCAATTTAAAAAAACAGATCTTCCTTGAATAATTCCTATTGCTGTTTATTTATATACATAATGAACAAGAAATATAGTCCAGTTTTCCATATTCCATACAAAGTGTCATATTTAAGACAAATATATTTTAACTTATTTGATTTCCTCCAATTTTAGTTGTAACTAGAGTTCTTTTGCATTTTACAGATTTTCCAGTGGAATAATGGCATCTTTATATTCCGTAATCAACTCTTTGTGAATGGAGTTTTGAGTCTGGATCTTTTCTCCAGGGGAAGTACAACATATCTAGTCATTGTCCCTTGTGAATCCATGCATACACCTCTTTTATTCAAGTGGTCAGAAAATGATTTTATAAGGTTTCAAGAAGTGCCAATCAATGGAATAACACAAGTCAAAGCTGTCATTTCTGGATCTGACATCTACCTAATTTTTGCAAACGGTACTCATATTTGATAGAATTACATAAAGAGTGGAAACTGAAGCAAGAAAAAACTTTTAATGATTCTTATAATTAATGTTGCTTTGTTTAATGATGATCTTTTGATATATACTTATTATATAACATTTTAAAAAGGCCAACTATGCAAAGTTGATCATATATACTGGGGGGATTGTGCTAGTTGTTTTTCCCTTTTCTTTCAAAATCTGTTTGACAATGGTTTCTTCTGATATTAGGGACATAAGAGAAAATAATTTGTAATGAATAAATGAAGGAAACAGGGTTGTAGTTCTATAATCCATAGTGTTTCCTAAAATGAACTAGTATATTAGATGTTACTATTTATTGATTAGTAGTTATAAATACCCATATTCATAGAAAGCTGTCTGATTTTACTCTCCATAGAGCTCAACAGTACATGTGAATTTTTTATCTGGGAGGCAGGGCAATTTTCCTTCAGATATTTTCAGTCCATTTCCATCAGAGCAGTAAATGCAATCCATACTTCTTTCCCACCTTCAGGTTTAGGTAAGTATGACAATTATCTTTAATAATGCATTAATTCAAACATGATTCCCCCCGCCCCCTTGCCAGATATAATTTTCCTGTAGGGGAAAATGCCTTTTTTTGCACCATCATCATAACTAATACTATTGGCCTTTTGGATCCTGTGAAATGTACAGTTGGTCATGATTTTTCAAAATAAGCACTTTGATCAATTTGGATATGGATATTACCTGCATCTTAATGGCATTGTCAGATATGAAATGTCCCTAAAAAGTCATTTTATTTGTGCACTTTGTTTTTTAGCCTAATGTGATTAGTAATAGAGTCATTACCACAACACAAGCTTTCAGAGAGAAAACAAACTTACAAAACAATTTTTAACATGTATCTTAATCATGTGTTCAGAATAAAGTTTTTTTTGTTGCTGATTGGAAGAAAAATGAGAGCATGCTGCATTTGCTGCAAAGTGCAAACATTTCTTCCCTCCTTCAGGAGTGCTTTGCACAACTGCTTGCACAAATCTTTCCCTGATTGTCTAAATATGGCAGTGCATGCACAATTGCTTTGCTATGTTTGTGATACAAGCAAAAGTGTTGTCGACATTCAGATGAATGATGTGATAAGCCTTAGAAGCAGCCACGCTGAGCTTCCAGGGGACATGGTCGCTTCAAGGACTGATGTTTATTCATTTCAGTGCCCTTTTGGAATACCCTTTTAAGTGCTTTGTATATCTTTAAAACAGAAAGTACTGAGTAAATGCGAAATACACCTTGAACAAAACCAATTAAATATTTTTTAATTTTTTTTAGCATAATATGTTAACATGTTTCTCTAACATTCTTATCTTCTTTGATTCTTGCTGTAGTGCAGGTGTTGTTTGCCAGCAAAGATAAATCAGCTCTGTATTCCTGGAACTCAGAAATGAATCAGTTTTCTCAGTTGCTAGATGCTCCTTCTGCCAATCATATTTCCAGTATCAATGTAAAGTCTCTTAATTCACACAAAAGTCTCATTGTTGTGACTGGAGATTCCTATTCCTATGTTTACGAGCTAACTGCAATTTCAAATCAGTCAGATTTTATACCTAGGTATGATTTTATTTTTTATATTGATTATTGTTACTTTTGTTAGTTACAGTTTATAAAACAATGTTACAGTCATCATACTACTGTTCTTTCTTTTGCTGCAAAGATTTGAGTTCCTAATACAATACCTTCCATGTTCTGAATCTTTCACTTTCTAGTGAAAATTCTACAGTGAGAAAGTGATAGTCAGCAGCCGAGGACACTACCTTGGAATTGTTCAGAAATATAGGAAAGAGTACTGTCAAAGATTATAAACAAAATATGACCAAATTAAAGATGATAATGGAATATATAGCCTAGAAAGCTGATAGAAGTCTGCTTTTTTGATTGGTTTATTGTCAAGAGATCTTTTTCCTTTGGGATAAAACTGGATAAAGTCTAAAAACAATGAAATTAGTCTAATCTAAATGGAACACAGTGTATATTATTTGCTTAAAATATGTATGAGGTAATCTACCTGGCAAATGAAATGTCTTGCTAAAGTAATATGGAGACAGAGAGCTTCCACGCTGCACTGCTCCATAGATACTACTTTTAAATTCTGCTTCAGTGTGTGGAATGATATCCCAAAACAGACTATAAAAACTTAGGGATTTTATAGATAGGAGGAAAAGGATAAATTATTCTATATAAACATGTCTATTTGCTTGTTTTTGAATTGACCTCACATGTTTCCTGTAACACTTAAGTTAATAGCAACAAAAAATTAGTAATTGATAGAAACTCTTTTTTAAAGTACCTAAAATTACATTTTTTCTGTATCAAAACTGATTTTACTTTGTCTCAGAAGAACAATTGTTTAATTATAAATATGCTGTACATTGTGTTTTTATGCTAGTTCAGGTGAACTGATATTTGAACCAGGAGATAAAGAAATTGTGATAGCAATCAATATTTTTGATGACATAGTCCCAGAGGAAGAAGAATCTTTTGGAGCATGGCTGAAAAATCCAAAGGGTGGTGCAGAAATAGGTCCTAATGGTTATGTGACCATAGTGATACCCTCTAATGATGATGCTCATGGAGTTGTTGCATTTGCCCAGGTAAAATTAAAATATTAAATTAAATATTTTTAATACTAGGCTCCTGTTAACACATATATGCATTCATGTTTATAATGTTGTAAACACAACACCAGTATCATAAACAGCTGCCTTAGTAACATATCTCACCATATTATCCATTCATCTTTGGATAGCAAGATGGATAATATATAAAAGTAAAACTAAATAAAAATGCTTTGGAACCTGCAATTTCTGTCATGTCATACTGGTTTAATTGTGAATTCTGTTGTGATGGCTTATAAATTAGGAAAATGTATTGTTTTACTGATAAGATTTATATCCTAGCTTCCCCAAGGCAATTTAATAGTTTACACTGATGACAATACATAATAATACTGCATGGTTAAGTTAGTCTGACAGATCACTGGTTCAAGGACACCTGAATCCAAGGTCTTAAATTTAAGTCCAGTAATCTATTTGCTACTACATATAGGTGTCAAAATGCATATAAAAACTAGCCTATCTTGTTTATTGTTTATTTCTATTGTGAAATTAAATATAGGGAACTCAGTTTCTTCATTGGCCGCATTTCAGCGATACTAATTTTCTCTGCTGTAGAAGGTTGTCAAAATGGGCACCAACATTTCTCAGGCTAGATAGAACTTTTAAGTAAATAATGACAGAAATCTCCCAAGCTTAAGGCCAGGAAAACTTTAGTAGAGCTAAAGGCAGATGGAATTGATTTTCAAAATTTTGCAGTAGGCAGATCTGTATGCATATGGATAAAGAAAGGAAAAGTGCTTCTTCCTATTGTGGAATAAAACCACATCACATCTTTGAGTGTCAGTGGATACTTAAGTATGGGTTAAATATCTGGGGAGTATAGACATATTGCTGTGCCTGAAGTAAAGGTTTACTGCTTTTATTAAAGCAAAATCTGATAGTCACACCTTTTGAGTTTAAATTATGATTTTAACTATTTTTATACATTTTTGAAAACATGGTTATTCTTTTTTGTTATATATGCATGTTAAACTATCTATGTATTATTTTTCATCATTGGCATATTTTTAGAATTCTTTATTTAAACAAGCCGAAGAAATGGAACAGGACACCTTGATCACCTTGAACATTGAGCGCTTAATAAGTACATTTGGACATGTTATAGTACACTGGGAAGCTAGCGGGAGTATTAATGACATATTTCCAACTTCGGGGGTGGTATGTATTTTGCCAAAATTTTAGCTATAGAAACTGCCAACTAGTTTAATTACTAATGTATTACTGATCTAATTAAACAAGAATCAAATTGGCTAATATTAACTCAAAAGTTTTCTTCCCTCATATTGTCCCTTAATTTCTTGATCTAAAAATTCAAAATAATTTTGATTTATGGAAAAAATCATTTCTTCCTTTGCTTTCATGCTCCTTAGATAACATTTTATCTAATTTTGTTAAACTAAAAGAAAAAACAAAATTAAGAAAATTAAAATGTAAAGAAACTAGTAATTTGTTTGATTGTAATCATAATAGTAATGTTGTTTCATATTCTTAAATCAATGCAATAAGGCCATTAAGTTAACTTTGTCAGAAAATGGCAAAAACACTGTCAATTGTCAAAGTGCCCAAAATGCAATAATAGGACTCCAAGGTGGGTGAAGCAGTTGTAAATTCGAGGATAGGACTTGAGTAGGTTTGGGGAGTTGGTTATAACGTTGAATGGTCATCAAGTGAGGTATATTTTTATATAAATAGTGAATTTCCTTTGGTTGAAAAAGTGCTTTCTATGTGATGTTACTTCAGTCCTTTGTAGGGAAAGAAAGTTATACACTATATTTTAGAAATGTAGTATCAATACCATATTTAATGGAAATAATTAAAATACAAATTTATCCTATAATGCACACTGATACAAAAAAACTGCAGTGTGTCTTTTTGCTACATAAGTATATATAGTAACGTGCATCATGTCAACTTACAAAGCTGTTTATGAGTACCTGCAGGAAATGCTATTTCATATAACTCATTTCTAGAAAATGGGCTGAAGTGGATCAAATTTAATAAAGTAAAAAATGAATGCCATTCAGATAATATAAATTATGCAATAGCACTTTCTTGTTGCTGCATACACTCAGGGAAAATTCACTCATGAGGAGGAACACAGCCCTTGAACAATATGAGATTGGGTATAAAATGGCAAGAGATGACTTTTAGGAAATGCCGGTACTCAGATTTCTTTTCTAAATTGAAAGTCTCAGTATTGCTGTTAGGTTGAAGAGGTTTAGTTTAGTTTAGAAAAAAAATCTAAAGTGTCATAAAGTTCCACTTATAAGTACTCAAGATTATAGTCAGTTGCCATTGCTAAGAAAAGATTAATGTGTTTTCTATTTCTTCTGAATGCCAATGCAACTTAGAATTTTAATACACAAAGTAAAATAAACTTTGTTAGAGATAAGACAAATCCAAAATCATATTAGCATACCCTTCCCCTCCAACAACATTAAGTTTCTATCTGATAATCAAGGCAAAAGTTGTATATTTAAGCCATGGAATTTGCAAGTCTTAATAGGAAATACAGGAATAAACTGCAGGTATTAAAATCTCCTCTTCCTAAAATTGGGTAAGGTAGTACCTGATATTTCAACTTGATTCAACCTGCTTTCTTCAAAATATAGCTCCAAAATATGTTGGACTACAATAGGAGTTACAGTCCAGCTTCCCTGAAAGATTTTATTTTGTACCATAGGTAAACAAAATAAACATTGAAAAGAAAACAAACATTACTAATTCAATGATTGCTTACAACTTGTATATTTAAGTAATATTGATATTGCAATTTTATTAGGATAATTTGATTAAATGTTTCTTTTAACTGGTACAAAAACTGCTAATTTTCATTGGAATGCATCTTAAACTGTTGTGTTAAGCCACAGTTATGTAACAAATATAAAGTTGTATATTTTCTTGTTAAATTCTGTAGGTGGCATTTTCAGAGGGTCAGGCTTTGTCAACAGTAACATTAACAGTCCTTGCAGATGTTTTTCCTGAAGCTACAGAGACACTGATTATAACTCTCACTCATATTAGCACAGTGGGCATTCAAGACCCCCAGAGAGGAGCCATAATTGATAAAAATCGAGCAAAAGCTATACTTACTATTCTGCCCAATGATATTCCCCTAGGTGTGGTGGGATGGCACACAAATTCTCTCTTTAACAAAGTAGCAGAGCCTGAAGGTGAGTCAGTTCTGAGAAAATCCTAGAGAAATTCAAGTATATATTTCCAGATTTTTTTTTAAAAAAAATGTTGCAGTTATATCTATAGATTTTAAAGTAAACATTTCTGAATATAGTTTCAAACATTTTCTTAATCTTGGAGGACCAATATAATATGTAGAACGTAATATATGAGTAGCAAGAAATATGAGTTATATTTTTGTAAATAGTTTTTGAAATGCTCAAAAAAATTATGTTTAGAAAAGAGTGCTTGCACTTTTCTTAATGTCCTAATTTTTATCATCACAAATGATTAATTTTTCTTGAGCTGAGAAAAAATGCAATTTATGGAAGCAATTTATGAAAGTAATATTACTATTATGTAGTTCATTGGCCATACTCATATTAGTTTTGGTTGGAAAAAACAGACTCTTTCAATAAGTATATATATATTCATTAACTTTAATATTGTTTTTTTCCTAGGGAGATCAACTACTATTACTTTACATATTTTCAGAGAACAACCACTTGTTGGTGATATTAGTATACACGTAATATCCCACCCTATCTTTTCACTCCCTCTTGTTAATCAAGCCATTGAAAATGAAGATTATAGATTGGAAAACAAGACCATTATTATGACAGAGAATATAACATTAGTTTCAGTTAACATAACCATTTTACCAGTGAGTATTTGAAAGTATATAAATAGCTTGTAGCAAGCCTATATGTGAATGACATATGAAAAGTGAAAATACTTTTCTGATTAATATTTTTGCATAAAATAGGATAGCACTCAATAATTTAATGTTATAATTCCCTATACATCTATATCTGGACTAATTATATTCCCTGTATTAAAAAACCTATTTTTTCACTGTCTTTCAACTTTACAGTATATTTCATACTTTAAATATTTACGCTAGTTGAAAATCCCCAAGTTGATTAATGTTTGAATATTATTTGTGGGTGAGAAGAAGTACAGATATACCTACCGTGTTTCCCCGAATATATGATATGTCCTCATAATACAGCCATGACACATTTTTCTGGTGGGCAAAAATATAAGCCCCCCCCACATATAAGCCCCCTGGACAACCCCCCATCTCCGGCCAGGCAGAGCGCTGCTCACCAACCTAGCAGTATCCCGAAGGTGCCAAGCCACAGGAACCTGGGGGGAGGCAAAGGTGATCGCATTGCTTGGTGCCTCTGGGATACTGCTAGGTTGATGAGCAGCGCTGTGCCCAGCTGAAGAGAGGGGTTGATGGGTGGCTGCTCTTTTGTGAGCAGGCTCCGAAAGAGCCGGGCACAGCTCATTAGCGAATGACTGTGTTGCGCTATCGCACAAGCGACCACACTCACGAGCAGCCACCCGGCAACCCCCCCTAGGGATATTGCCAAGCCGCGGGAGCTGGGTGGTGTCGAACAGGTGCTCACGTGGCTTGGCAATAACCCCAGGTCAGTGAATGGTGCTGTGCCCAGCTGCAAAGGGGGTTTGCCGGGTGGCTACTCATGAGCATGATTGCTTCATGGCTGCTGCGACAGAGCAACACAGCCATTCGCCCATGAGGCTGTGCCTGGCTGTTTGGGAACCCGTTCGCAAGAGAGCAGCTGCCCGGCAACCCCAAAACAATAAACCCCCCCCCCATAATAAAGCCCAAGCCATATTTTGTAGGTAAAAAGAAAATAAGACCCTGTTGTATTTTCGGAGGAACATGGTATGTACTTTATGATTGATTGATTAATAAATGAGTTAATAAATAGAAAATCTACTGGTGTATTGCCTTCTACAATTTGTAATCTCAACAACTTCTACTTTTTATTTATATGTTCTCTGAATAAATGGTATGGACTATTCTACCATATTTATGATATACTATTAGCAATAATTTATTAAATTTATAAACACTACTTTGATATAGTGATTAAGACATCAGGCTAGAAAACAAGAGACAGTGAGCTCCTGGGCAAGAAGCTAGCTTGGTGGCCAGTCATTTTTCAGCCCTAGGAAGGAGGCATAGGCAAACCACTTCTGAAAAACTTTTCAATAAAATTTAATAGAACAAAAATAAATCCGTATGTTGCCCAACCTCCAGTGATTGTGGTTTCTATTAAAATATTTCATGCTTATTTTCTGATGCTACAATTTGTACAATCTCTGCTGCACCTCACAATTTGAACCCTTTTATCTTTAATCATTAACCTTAAATTAATTAATTTAATTTATCTTTAACTTTTCCTTAAATGGATTAGGTAATTAGATATACAGAGAAGAGCAGATTTTGATACAAGGAAATTATATTTTTAGGAAAGAAAATATAATTTTTAACAACCATTTGTTTTTATATAACTAATCTTCTTTACATTGAGGGAATTGATTGTTTGGTCATCCATGTCTTTACTTTCCATTGAAACAAACATAACTTGAAATGATTTCTCTTACTAGTCTATCCAAAATCTGAATCTGCAAAACAATTTAAAACATTTTTTTATCTTACAGGATAATATTCCAGAACTACAAGAGGGTTTTTTAATCAATATTAGTAGTGTGCAATTACTGAACTCTTCTCTTACTAGAGGGCAACAGAGCATGAAGAAACTTGGTTTAGAAATAGCTGAGATTTTAATTGAAGAAAATGATAACCCCAGAGGAATATTTCAGTTCAATATTAGCAAGGTGAGAACAAACTGAAACATCTCTGTCAAGAGCAGTAGAAACTATTCTTATTCTAAGCTGAACATTTCAATGCATGTATGTAGGTAATAATACATAGGTTAATAATGTGAAATTATAAATCTTTTACCCATGCTTAATATGTCCATTGCTATTATGTTTTCCTATGATATAATGAAGCCAAATCTTCCATAATTATAATTTTCCTCAGGGAAAAGGGCGGCCTATAAATGACAATCCTATTTATTTATCTTAACCTGAATAGGACAGTATTAGTTGGCAAAGAGTTGCTAAAGCATCTATTGATCCTTACCACTAAAGTCTTGATTTTTATTCATTCAATCAATTTCATTACAATCTGGTGGCTTACAGTAGCTTACATATATAATACATATTATATAATATGTCAAAATAATTAAATATTGTTCCTGTAAGATCTGGGAGATGGGCACTAGATTCTATTTAGAACAGGCATTTCTGCAGGTACTCAGATTCCAAACCATAAAGGTCAAAACCAGCACGTTAATTTATACCTGAAAATCAGGTATCACTTTAGGCCTGTAAATTCCATATTATGTATTTCCAGCATTGAGAGCCATTGAATATGCATTCAGAATTATTTGTAATTTTAAGAAGTCTTTACGGGCAAGTAGGTTGTAGTAGCCTATTACAGTGGTAATGAGAGTGTAAGTTTTAGCCTACTAGGTAAAGCCCCAAGTGAAGCATTACTTGAACTTGGGTGAAGACATTTCTACTTGTTATTCTACCTTCAAGCAGGAGCTGTGAATGTAGATGGGCCACCAATTGTGAATCTGTTCTTTCACTGTGCTTGTGAGATAACAGAAGTAACACTACTGTTGATAGAGAATCTTAATAGACAAACTGTAGTTACATCTTTCTTAGATTACACTTCAAGCAGTTCTCTCCCATCCAAACCCTTAAAATCTCCAGGCAGTAAAAATAGAATATCAACAGTATTTCACCTACCTCTCCATCTGTTCCCCTTAGTAGACAAATTGGGCAGGCATCCAAAGAACAGGTGGCACAATACAACACTGACAGATTTTCAACCACTTCACAGTATTCATAGGCTAAAAGGATTCCTGAAAATATGCCATGATAAAGAACAACCACTAGCAAAGACATTTTCCATATAGTTAAATGAAGAAATAGAAAAGCTGTAGCATTTCTCATAAAATAGGCCACTAATAATTAACTCATAAAATAGGCAATAATAATTAACTAAAAGCTTTTATTAAGGGAGAAAGCTCTCAACTATTCCATGAGAAAATCCAAAGGCAGAAAATGAGTCTATTTATGTTTGTGATAAATGTGTTTGTACTTTTGTTATTACTATTCTCACTTTGGCCTAACAATCCCTGAAAGAGCAATTCCTAACTCATATATATATATATATATCCTATTATATTTATTATCTCTCACTTTTTCTCTTCTTCCCACTCTTCCTTCTGAAACCCACTCTTCCTTCTGAAATACATGCACCATTATATTTTTAATAAAATACTAATTGTTCCCTTTCAAGGATATGAACAGGACAGTGGCTGCTTATGAAGTACCACCACCAGATAATATTCTAAAGTTGCCCATTGTTCGGAAGGCAGGAACATTTGGATCAATAAAACTGGATTGGGAAGCCACACCTGCCTCTGCTAGTCTGAAAGACTTTTCACCATCATTTGGAAATCTTATATTTGCTGATGGACAAGTATGTAACATATTGATAAATCATCCCCTCCCCATATTTTTTATTCTTATGATTATTGTATGTTCCTTTTAAGATAGTTGTGGCTAATAATCACAGGATGCTTTTCCCCTTTCTTACATTTTAAGTACGTACAAAGCACATGTCTATGCATAAGTTTCATTGACTTAGTGAGGTCTGAATAGCTTTTAGCCAACAATCTGTGTGGTTCTAATATAGGATGGCAAATAGGTTCCTTTTTTCATGGCTGATTGTGATTGGAGACCCACTTACATTTACTATAAATGTATTAAACCATGAAAACCATTAATTGCTGTAAAAATGAGAGCCTCATTGAAATCTGACTCATGTTCATATTTAAAGTACTATGAAACCTACCAAACTTCTGGAAGTTGGTGTAACTCTATTCATATTTTTTTCTTAGCAACTTTTCTGTTTTGGATCTATTATCTAATGCCATTAAAGTAAAGAAACAATGCATTTTATATAGATATATTAAAAATGGATATTTTGTTTCTAAATGTGCCAGTGAATCCTACTACATTTAGGAGTTTCCCTACTTCTTCCACTAAATGGACTTTGCTTCAGAACCCTGTACTGACACAGCTTGTACCACTTCAAGCCTTGCTGCTTGTTTTTAAAGGACAGTGGAGACTATTTTGTAAAAGGGTTTTGTGGTGTTTTAAACTGTTTATGTGTATGGTATGCATTATGCCAGAGTTGCCTTCTTTGAGGTTCATTTTATCTATTTATTTATTTATTAACCAAATTTATAAAGCTGCCCACCTCACCTGAACTTTCATTTCCATTTCTATTTTGCTTCAGAATTAAATCTAAATGTCTTGAACATGTTCATGATACTTATTTCATCTTTGTTTTTATTTTTAATTTATTTCCAAGGTTGCAGGAGTGATAGAGATCACTATCATAGATGATGATGAGGTTGAATTTTTGGAAATGTTCACTGTTACCTTACTTAGAGTGACAGGTGATGCAAGATTAGGTGATGATGTACAGGTGATGGTTACTATTGCACCAAATGATTCACCTGCTGGAGTGTTCAGTTTTGAAGAAAAGCATGTAAGTGAAAGTAAGATCTTATATTTAATGCCAGACACCTGCATATCACTTGCATATTCAAACCTTAATGTATAGATATGTCCAGCTAGATGCCCAATCCAGCTGAGACCAAAAGCAGTAGTAGATATAAATAATAAGCGGCTGAAATTAGCCAAGATGCATCTGAAAACAAAATGTCTATTTAAAACTAATCCATAAATCTCAAAATACATATCACCTTGGATGTTTTTCATTGCATCAGAATTAGATAGCCAGATGTTATTCTCCTTCACATGACTATATACAGAGCAATTGTTTTAGGAACTATCCAGGTTCTAGTGCAGAATATTTTCAGGAAGGGATGTATAGAGGCTTTCACAATGGTATACACAGCAATTTCCTTTAAGCTCTTTGAACAGACAACTATAGATAGTTTACATGACGTCTATCCCCTACACCAGGAAGATATAGCTCTGGATCATTTTCATCAATAAATAAATGAACAGGTATAATTTTTGACTCATTTGAAAATTGGGTTTTCTTTACTTAGTTTTAGGGTTTGTGTGGACAATAGATCATGTTTTATAACATGGGTATACAAAAATATTGAAAATTCCAAAGAATTCACAAACAACTAAGCACCACTGTAGATAGTCCATCCTTCCTTAGTATTTGTGTTTGGATTTAAATAAGGGGAGCTCTTCTAGTTAGTAAAATAGTAGCAGAATCTAGAAAAAGTGGTCTAGAACTCTTTTCCCCCTGTTGATAATTAGGATATCAAAAGAAGTATATGCTATTTTAAGGACCTCTGAGTGTCAACAATTGGGTGTAAAAGTAAAATTGAGTCAGGCATATTTTTTTGGGGAAAAAAAGTAGCAATTCTCACATTGGATTAGCAGAAGTGATACCACAACTAGAACTTAATATTGTATGCAATAGCTATTTTATCAAGTGATTGTGTTTATCTAACAGATATATCTGTGTTTGCATATGAAGGTGCTAAATGGGACAAGAGAATAAATAAATAATGACGCTGCTCCTGGAAGCAGAATTATTACTATAGGCTGTCATATTTTGTTAATGAATTTATTGAGAAAGAGGATGTTTGACAATTAAGTACAATTTGTAGATAGAATTCTAACATAAATATATTTTGAATCATCCTCAAATTAGTCTTTTTTTACTAATTGGAACAAAATAAAGATATTTATGCACATGAAAACATCACTGTACCATACGAACAGACTCAATGTTTACTTAGTATATTTATAATTCAACATTCTTAAGGACATAGAAGAAGAAACAATTTAATTGCTTTATAATTGTAGGCTTTATTTGAAAAACCAAAAGAAAATAAATAAATGGTCACAAAGTCTATTTTATTTCATTATTTATATTTTACAATTATTTTATACCACTCCATGGTGCAGCTCTGGGCACTATGCAATAACTATTGCTATTAATGGGCTTCTTTGAATGACTGCTTGTTCGAATCAAATCATTTGCCACATTAAACAGTTTTTAAAAGGGGAATGTGATTAAATGGAGAAAGTCCCTTATGCAGAGATTCTCTTTAGTCTTTTATTGAGAGAGGCTGCATGTGTGCATCTCTCCTTCTTGTGGCAGATTCTGGCACCAGGTACTGACAGGTAGGCTGCTGGTTCCAGCAATGCATCAAAATGCAATGTGTGGGACATAAAGGAAGCTCAACACTGACATATTTTGCTTGTTATTCAATATTGGTCTCCGTAATACCAATGCTTTTCTTGTTTCAGGTAACAGTGAAAGAACCTCAGTCAATACATGATCCCACAGCAAATGTCTTTCTCACTGTAAGTCGAAGTTCAGGAGGCCAAGGAGAAGTCCAGATTCTTTGGAAACTTGAGGAGGCAGCTAGATATGATCTCACTCCTCTCAGTGGTACTCTTTTCTTTTCTGAGGTACAGCCCCTTTTTCCACATCACATTTTTAATGTTGTGTTATTATTTATTATTTTATTTTAAGTCAAGCTTATGTATATATGTTATATCATATTTTATGTATTCTCATTGCTTTCTTTTTCATTGTGTGTTTTATTGTTCTATTATTTTGCTTCTGTTTTGTTTACACTCTCTTAATTTCTTTCTTTTTATTGTTGTCAGCTGCCTTGAGTAGCCCATGGCAAGATAGGCGGCAAATAAATTTAATAAATAAATAAATAAATAAATAAATACATTCATTTCACAAATAATTTTTAACTGCATATTGATGTGAACCTAACATATTTGCACTGTTAGCCACATGTAGAAAGTAGAAATGCAAATATACAATTATGAATTTGATATTCTAGTATTTAAGACAAAAGTGTTCATTTTTTTCCTTATGGTTTAGTGATTTTCTCCTGTTTAACAACATTTCCCCCTGAATATATTTCTTAAAAGGGTTAAAATTCTATTCTTATCTCCTAAAATGTATTAATTCAATTTAGTGCTTTCCTCTTTTGAAACTAATTTCATTTGATGATTTTAATTTCATTTAATGTTGTTTTCCTTTTTTAGTATACTAAATTATAGCTCTAAGATATATAATCTTTTCCAATTTTATGCAGATGGAATCTCAGAAAACCATAATTTTGCAGGCAATTCAAGATGATGTTTTGGAAGGTGATGAACATTATTCAATTCATCTGGTGTCTACTGATAACACAGAAATATCACCTGTAAATGGTAAACACACTCATTTAATTGCAATGATGCCAGACAGGTCTAATTACCTTTATTTTTCCCCTTATCTGCAGTGTTTAGAAAACTATGGCATGCCATGATTAGACTGAAATAAAGAAAATACAGAGAATGTGGCTTGTTGACTTTATTCATAAGTTCTCTTATGTTGACATATTACTTTTGCTATATTGGAATTGTAGCATTTTTGAAAAGTATCTAATTCTTAAATAGAGGTCTTTTTTTACTAAGTAGTTACATGTTATCAGCCTCTACTTTCCTTGCTTGCTATCGGCTGCCATAGAAACAGGGAGGGAGGGGGCTTGAGATATTTGGGAGGGGGAATTACAGGTGCTGGAGGAGTTATGAAGAAGGAAGTTTTGTTCTCACCATCTTCTGCACATGCTGGTGGCCTGTGTTTGGACTTGGTCAAGGCCAACCATCTCGCATAACAACTTGATGAGGCTTTTTGAAGATGCACCCCACATGACACCTTAGGGAATTGCAGGTTGGACATTGGATTGGGGAATTGGGGGGAGGGTGCATTTGATGTGTACTTGTTCATGCTTTTTTGACTCAGATCTTACTTTCCTTTTTGCTGCTTTCAATTCATACCTAGTAAAAGTACTTTATCTCTATTCAAATGGAGTTAAGGTTTTTCTTTCTTGGATATTGAATGCCTGACACATGTGGTATTTGAGGCTTTTGAAAACATATGTTGAGGTTAACCTTGTTTTTCAACTATGAATGCTGAATATTGTCCTGGATATTGGCTTTGACTGTGTATTTCACAGTATTGTCGCAAACTGGACTGCAAACAGAAAGAACAAGCTTTTGATAAGTAGATTTATTGTGGAAGAATTAACAAAGCCCTAATGAAAGAATTTGCATGATTCTTATGTCTCAAATACAAGCTCTATTTGAAGAAAAATAATGGTTTAGATTCTTACATTGCACTCCTACCCACAAGGTTTTAATTAACTTAAATTACTTTATTATGTTACATTGTTTAAATTAAATTAAAGTAGTGGATCAAGAAAATGCAGTGGATATAGTATTCTTAAACTTCAGTAAGATATTTGATAAAGTAGATCACAGACTGTTGCTTGGTAAGATAGAGCAATGTGAGATAAACAGTACTGCATCAGGCCCTATACAACAAGATGGAGTTCAGTAGTGCACTTAGGAAAACACAATGCATGGGTACACAATAGGCAGTATATGGCTTAACAGTAGTGTCTGTGAGATGAATCTAAATGTCCTGGTGGACCACCACTTAAATATGAGCCAGCAATGTGCTTTTACCTTTCAAAAAAGCCGCTGCTGTCCGAGGAATGACATGATAGCTGTCTTCCAATACTTAAAAGGCTGTCACAGGGGAAAGAGAGATGATTTAGTATCCATAGCATCTGAAGAGAGGACAAGAAGCAATGGGTGGAAGCGCATCATAGGAAATCCAATCTGGAAATGAGGAATTGGATTGGACAGTGAGAAGAATTAATCAATGGAATAGTTTGCGTTCTGGAATTCTGGTACTCCATTGCTGGAAGTTTTCAAGAAAAGATTGGACAAACATTTGTCCAGAATATTATAAGTACTCCTGCCTTGAGTAGTGGGTTGTACTAGAAGACCTCCAAGGTCCATTCTAGTGCTATACTTCTATGAATCTGTGAAAATG